TGAGCGCGAGTCGTGATATCGACGCCTGAGTAGAACAGCTTCCATCCATTGAGGTTCAGGAGTCCAGAGCATGGGCGTTTTGTTGACGAGAGTCCAACAACGTCGAATTGGTACTTCATGGCCTCATCAACTAATTCATGTTTGTTTCCTCTGAGTGAGGATATTTTCCGATTTCCGACTTTAAGCTCTCACTGGTGGTGTCGTTATCATGGACACTTTTCTGATGTGCTGTAATGGCTTCGAGCTGTATGCCGCCTCCATTCATGACGGGTAGCGACTCCGTTGTTTGCTGATATCTTCGTCGTCGTTCCGTCGGTCTTCGTCAGCCGTTGTTGCGCGCATAGGGCGTTGAGCATGTTTCTGCACCGTTTTCTTTTCCAAAAGCATCGCTGCATCTACCTTGCCCCTCCACGTTGGTCTCTTGATGGAATTCCGCCGTATTTTTGATTCCTCGATGTGGGAAGATCACTGGTGCAGTGATTAGTTTATGCTTAACCAGTTTGTCGATCATCAGGGTCAATCTCCTTTTTCTTAATGTTTACATCTGCCGAATTCACCTGTGCCTAAAAGCCAGTTGAAGTATTCCTTACGTGGTTCTGCCATTTAACTCTGGTTATGCGTCGAAGTCAACGCTGTTATGCGCCGTTCAACTATGGTTCGTGTATCTTCGTTGGAACAAATTCCTCCATGTCGTAGATCAGCGCCACCTGACGGAGGTAACGTACAGGCGGATTTTTGTCGAAGGAGTAATTTTTTCAGCCTTAATATCTTACTGATTTTTAAAAGCACTCGGGCGATTTAAAAAGATAGGGCGATCTACCTGTTTCTTCTGGCTTGATAAAGAGTGCCATTTCTACAAATGACAGCCGTAGTTCCTACACTGATAAACCTCCTGAAGGCTTCACCTCCCTATTGCACTTGGAGATCAGCTGTGCTGGATGTGTTTCTCGTAAGCTTTGACTTGTGCGTGTTATGGAAGAGGCTGGCTTTCACAGTTGTGTTTCCTACGAAATCCGTAGATAATGCAGCCCGCTTCCTGTACTACTAGCCAGAAAATGTCATCTCCATACTCCAAGTTGGCAAGATTTCTAGCCGGATATTCTGAACTCTGTGTTCCCTTTTGAATGAGATCTTCGTATTTGTGAATTTGAGAACAAGCCCGTTAGCGCTGTTTTGCGGAAGAACGTCGTAAGCGATACTGAATAGCAAATGATATCCTTGACGAAGCCACAGTTAATGGGCAACCATTCAGATAAACATCATTTTTAAATAAAGTAAACATAGATGCTGCACACATCTCCAAAACAGAAACGACGGTCTCAGGTATACAATGGCATTTCAAAATTTTCTGCATCTGCGGACGATGCGGTGAATCAAATGCAGGTTTAATGTCGACAGAACTGGCAAACCAAGGCAACTGCAAGCGTCAGCATCGTCTGTGATGTCGACTGTCCATAAAAAAGTTTCCTTGGAGTAGACAAGTACTGCGGTGCCACGATACTTCGAACACTCGTTCATCCGACCCCCTTCCTTTCTGCACACTTCCTTTCTTTAGGAAAGTTGTGTAAATTTACTTTTCATGAAATAAAATATGTAGTTTTTCTGTCATTCCCCGTCCGTCCATATTTAATTAACTCCGAAGGAATTCGATCTTGCCGTAGGCTTTCGTTACCATTGAGTATGGCAAGGATTTAGTGGTTTCTAGTTTTGTGAGCGGATCTGTGCTAATCTGTAGTGTTGGCCGAGAATTATCGTTCAGAAGTGACGGGTCTGATGGCGGCTATTTAGTAGCTGCCGGAAATGCGCAGCACATTTCTTGAGGCGTTCCTTGTCACCTGCCAATGAAACACCCTTCGCGTATTGAATAAGCGCACACTGAGTCCCGTGCCCGAACAACTGTCGCTCCGCTCTGAACGCTGTTCGCCACCCACCGTTTCTGGTTGTCTTTCTGTGGAGCAAGTAACACTAGCTGTAGAAGGCTTGAAAATGGGCAGAGCTGCTGGAATCGACGAAATGTCTTCTCCTCCTGAGATGTTTAAACGTTAGGTGATTAAGGTGTGTTCTAGCCAACACGTCTGTCAAACTGCAATGATTATGGGATAAATGACAGCGTTATAGGACTGCTGTTCACGGCCACCTTCAGTGTTCGTTACTTGCTTTCTTGAAGGTAAGGCGACTGATATGTGGTTGTCTTTTGTAGAGCGGAAGTGTTCTAAGGTATACTTTGCTCATTGCTAGTATAAAAATGTATTGTTTTGCACTTGGCAGCGAGCCAAATGTTCCATGAAACGACAGGGACATTTTTCATGAAATAAGCAGAACTGTTACTTTAGAATTATGACTGTCGACTTCGTGACTTCATGCAAAACTGTTAGTGAATTTTAATTCGTTACTGATTATGATGCTTAACGATAATAATTGTGGTAAATTTGTTCATAAATGCGGCACTAAATGAAGCAATTTTTTACAGTTAGATTTTTTAAAATTTTGTTACAGTAAAAAGCATAAGTACTTTTTGTATATTGTTACTCAAGTTTTGGACTGCTGTTGGCATCTACTTCACACCAATATCCTGTAGTATGCTGCTGTTAATCACTGTGACTCTTGTAGGTTATGACGTCAACGACGCGTACTTTGAAGAAACATCACTGAAAGACTCGAACCGTACCCGTATCACGGTTACCGCTGATTTGCAACGCAGCCCACTTTCCGCTGAAGCATCGCTATGCAACGCTGCTTTGTACACCTCTGTCTCTGATGCCCTTAACGTAAGTGTCCCATATGATTTGTGTTTGCCGCTTTTAGTTAATTGTTCGAAGTATTCGTTGTATGATTTCTAATGCAACTGTGCCTTTATTTTACATTTTCGTTTTAACCGAATGCTACGGTTATGAACTACTTAATTCTAATCATAGTAAATTTAATATACAGCTGCTAGCAGTACTGTTCGTATTAGCAGTTTTCAGAATGGCGGTATTGCTACCATTGCTGGCAGTAAAACTGACACCACTACTGGTATTGTAAAGGTTAATGTTGGTGCAGTGGGAGATATACGCGCATTACTAGTGGTACAACGAACATGAGTGGTACGTTTGGTCTTAACACTGCTTTTACTACAGATTACGACTAGCCTTGACATCCATATTTATGTTGTGTTAATGTTAGGATTGCTTGTAACATGGCACATGCTTGTTGCACTTGCTAGCTAGCTACAGGTCTTACCGTTATGATTACTGATGCAAATACCAACAGTGTATTTGCATCAGTATTACTGGAATTTTTCCCACCGCTGTGGTGTTCTCATTAGCATCTACAGTAAAAGTAATGAGAGCAGTTGCAGCAGTAATACTGATTTAGGTAGTTCGTCTTACCATTAGTACTACTACTGTTATCAGTAGTCGTGTTTGAAATGCTAATTCTACCATTACGGCTGTAGTAAAAATCTGGTAGTAGCAACGGTTTGTATAGTAAACGCTTTATTAGTATTTTCGCCACCAGTATCATATGTAAGAGCGTTAGTACAAGTACTGCTAACGTTC